AMCWAMWAAAAAAAWAAAWGGAAAGAAGGCCAATAGAGTAGAAGAGGGGACCAAGGTGAGGAAGGAGGGGAGGGAAATACTGGGGATTGAAATGGAGAAAAAATGTTATATGCAGCCATGAATATGTCAAAATGAGCCCCACTAGGTATAACTAACATAAAAAAAGATTAAAAATTATAAAAAGAATTTAAAAGGCACAGGGAAAATGACTCTTGCCTACATCTTTTTCAGCCAACTCACAGCTGAGTGAGCTAGCTTATTTCTATCGAGTGTGGGCTGTACTTTATATATCTATGTCTCTATATAAAGAATGGTTTCAAAATATTCTGTGACTCTTTGGCTTAATTATGAGTCATTAGGCCCTTATTTGAGAGAGAGAGGTGGAAGAAGAACTTTGAGCACAAAGCATGTATGTGCTAGTAAAACAGTGTTTGGAATGCATGTGTAAGAAGTTCTTACGACTTTTGATGCAAAGAGGATGTACACGGAGGAGAACATGTGGATGCACACGTGTGTAGCACAGGTGGTGGGGAGAATCCCATAAGCAGCCAGCCTCTTAGCAACCCAGACAGTGGTAGAAGATACAGAGTGGTGTAGGACGTGATTGTTTTCCTCTCAGACCAGTACACAGGTCTTTGAGGAGCCCTTGACTTTCTTCTTCCTCCTTGTCTTGTTAAAAAGGGATTAGAGTCCAATTAAGCCATCTAATCCCAAGGTAGAAATTCATGTTTGAAAACAAGATTTACAGCTTCTTAAAAAAATCTATCAGAGCAAGTTGTGGTTTGTCCTTTCAAGTTGCCACCTGCGGTGGTTCCAAAGAGTGTTTTCGGCTGAACACCCATCATGCAGTTCTTCTTAATTACTTTGCTTCATACCTCTGCTCCTTCATCTTTTAAAGTGCCCTTCAACCTAAATAGCCACATTCTGATAGAAGTCCTTCAGCTTCTGGATTGCCACAATGCACCTTGACTTATCTCTCTTCAGTGGGCTACTTAGTGACCAGGGTTAAACAATAGAAATAGTATTAGGAGCTCATGCTTACTGGGAGCTTGGTATGTGCCAGGAATCATTGGGCCAAGTACTTTACATGCATTATTTCATTAGGTGCRCCATATGAAATCACCCAAGCTGGCTTCATGTGTATGTGACCCATGTAGACATTCAGGGCTATCACTTGGTTTAATGATCTGCTCTTGCCATCTTGAAATTGTTAATAAATTTTGAGCAAGGGATTTGAATTTTCATTTGGGATTGGGTCCCACAAACCCATGTGGTCAGTCCTGAGAACACTCAGTCATGTGTAGATATTTTGCATTCTTTCTTTGTGATACCTAAYACGTTGCTCGAGGATGGGACAGTGAGTCTGACATAAGACAAAATCATTTCYGGAAAATGGGAAATCCATCATCTCCTTGGGGAGAAGTTCTCAAAGGGACAGGAGTCATGGGATGGCACTTAGCATGGAATAGAAAAGTAGTTTAAGCTCTCTGTGTCTCAGTTTCCTCGTCTTTAAAATGGGGATGATAATACTACCACTTAAATCACAGGCTATTCAAGGATGAAATGAGATCACATACACAGTTCCAATATGCAATACTTATTACGTTAGTTAATATTCATGGGTTACGGAGGCTTAGCAAGGACTAAGCATCAAACATCACTTGTGACCTAGGGTGGATCCCTTGTCTACCTCCAAGTTTCCCTTCTTCCCAGGGATCTCTTCCTACCTGTGCTGCAGAGCTGAGAGGGAAGTCCACCTTCTCCATGTGCTGGGTGATCACAGAGGGGTTGCTGGAGCTGATGAGCACTGGAGTGCTGATCTCCACCATAGGGCGCCCTGAAGGAGAGTGGACCATCCGGTTGAGGGTGTTCAGGGCTGTTGTGATGGAAAACTGTCCCGGTGCCTTCCTCCTGGATCCYGGGACCCTGCGGAGGGTGGGCGTGTTGGTCGCTTTGCCTCTGGAAGATGAGTTCACCAGGGACAGGTTCTTTGTGCGGGATGACGGGCGCCCTTTGTTCTTCTCTAGCAGTTGTCTTGCGGTGAAGTTTGGCTGAAAAGACAGAAGGTCCCGTGAGAAATTAATTTTTCTGATCTCGGTGGTAGTGAAGTCCCATCTAAGCTCGTCTGATGCCTGGCTAGGTGCCACCTTGGCCACTGGTTCAGAGGGCGGTCCCTTCACAGCTCTCACCTTGTATCAACGTGCCAGTATCTCACAGCTCTCCTGCAAAGTAGGTATTTTTACTGTGGTCCACAGGTTTAAAAGTGACCCGCGATACTCTTTCCCCATCTGGAGTACTCTTCCTTTACCCATTTCTCCCCGTTGCATTCAGCCTTTTTTACCTCCTGGATTCTGCCTGCCTTAGTCATCTCCGAATCCCACCCCCAGACCCCCAGAGTGGGCTGCTCAGCCTTCTCAGGGCTCCAGCAGCCGCTGTGCTTCCCATCAGGGAGTTCTTCATTCCATACTGAAATGGTTGACTTGCCTTTCTCCACTGGCCTGTGAGCCTTCCAGGACAAGGACTATATATATATATATTATACTGTCCTGTATCCCAGAATGACTGTATRGTGAGTATTTGTGGGTGAGTGAAGTTGCTCAAACTCACACATTTAACAAATGTTTGAACCAGAAGGCAAATGATTTTGAGATCCTGATTTCTATGCTGATTGTCTTTTACGACTTCCTTGAAATACTCTCTCATCTCTTCACTTTCTGTCTTGTTCTATACCTTGCAGTCAGCAGCGTGCTGGTGACTCACTTCTCACTAAAAAAAAAAAAAAAAGTAAAAGCCATGATCTGTTTACCAACCTGCCAGTTGACTAACAAAATTCCTGAAAATGTAATACCCTGCTTTGATTTTTTTTTTTTTTTTTTTTTGCTCTAGTACCAGCCAGTTCCAGCACATCACTGAATTACCCTCTGCCTTCTCTACCCTATTGGTCAATTCCCACAAGTATCTTTTGAGTACCCAACTCACTGGGAACACTGGTGAGCTTATTTCCTTGGGAAATGTGAAACGGGTTGACAAGACAAGGTTCAATATTTATTAACGGAAATTTTAGGATAATGACTTAAATCCCCTTTATTATAATTGCCAGCAGTTKTTTTCTAAATCCACATGTAYCATTCTAATCTAGAAACTCAACTACAGGGGTAAGATGAAAATTTTCCACTTAAGAAGTTTTTAAAAGACAATTCATAGAGGATTAAATAGCTTGGAGGGAAAAATTTGAAGAGAGACATAATTTTCACCTTGTGAAGCTTGACTACTGTGAAAAACTCAAGTCTCGGGGAGATGATGTCCACTTTAAAGACAAGAAAGCTGAGGTCTAGAGAGAGTGACATCCATGACAGAGTCAGCATGTAGACGACTAAACAAGACAAGAGCAGATTTGAGGGAAGTGTCTGTGGTAGGCTGGGAAGTCAAAGGAGACCCTCTGGGAAGGTGACATTAAAGCTGAGATAAYATGATGTGAAAATGGGGGTAAGAACATTCCAGGTGGAAGTATTATAAGCTAGTGGGAAAGTTCTAAAGAGGGAAGGAGCTTGGCCTGTTGGAGGAAAAGACGAGAAAGAGACAGAAGGATGGAATGGAGTAGCTGAGGAGGCGGTAAAGAGTGGGTCATAGAGGGAGGCAGGGGACAGATCACTAAGCGCCTCTGAGGCTCCGATTTTATGTTAAGTGTAATAGGAAGCCTTTGGCAGGATTTATATAGAGAAGCGACATGATCTGATTTATGTTTTTAGAAGCTCATGTTACAGTTTGGCATTTTCTTATAGTTAAACACATACTTAGCATGTGACCCAGCAATGTCACTCTTAAGTAATTACTCAAGAGAAATAAAAACTTATGCTCACTCAAAAACTGTATGGAAATATTTATAGCAACTGGCCTCTAACTTACCATCCTCTTTTCTCAAGCATGCAGGATCAAGCAGCTTTAATCATAACTGTCAACAATGGGAAACAACCCCAGGGTCTTTTAACAATTGACATAAACCAGCACTGATACATCCATACAATGGMATATTACTCKGCAAAAAAGCATGAGCTACTGATACATGAAATAACATATGAATCTCAAATGCTTTATKCAGTGATAGAAGCCAGACTCAAAAAGTTATATTCCTTATGACTCATTTTCTATGACATTATGGAAAAAGAAAAATACAGGAACAGAAAACAGATTAGAAGTTGCCAGGTGTTGAAAGATGGGCAAGGAATTTCAGCATGAGGGGTTCTTGGGGGAAGTGTTGGAACTATTTTGTATCTTGATTTGTGATATGGTTATGCAAGTATATGCATTTATCAAAACTTATAGAATTGGACACCAAGAAGAGAGAGCAAACTTTATGTAAATAAAATAAACCAAAAAGTTCATTATGGTTATTAWTGAGAAGTTCCAGAACAGAAGTAAGAAAACAAATTCAAAGTTACTGAAACTATTCAGGCAGGCTCTGATGGCAGCCTAGATTAGGGACAATGCCTTATCCCCAGAGCACCTGCCCCTCCATGCTTCACCCAGTAAGAGGTCAATGCATACTCTTTGAATTAAATAAGTAATGTTCTTTGCAGCCATCCAAAACTATAATTAGTCATTTTTTTTTTCTGCTTTGACCTCATTGCTCTGCCCCCAGGTGAGTACCACCATTGGCTTTTCTATCACAATATTGACAAAGAGTCCCAGGAGTCTCTGCATCAGCCCTTTCCTTTGCCTGTGTGATTAATAGCTCAGCTGGGGAAGGGTTGCAGGTCTCTTAGATTTGCACCCACTCATTTGAAACAATATCCTTGAGGTTCACTGAGCTGAGCAAGGTTCACATAACCCAGGCAGGCCCTGTTGGAGAAGTCCTGACAAGAATGGCATAAGCTCAGTTTGCTTTACCACCTTTTATGCAGGTGCAATTCAATAAATCAAATGACACACTAACAGGAAAAATCCTGTTGATGTCAAAAAAAATGCATCACCCACATAAGAAAGCCTTTCTTCCTTCCRATCGCTTTGCAAAACCCTGGTAATTCAGAGCTTATTTAAAGAGTTCTCAGCAAGTGCTAGTCTTAATGAAATTACTGGAGTCAAAATTGAAGTACTGCTTTAAAAAGCTCCATTTAGATTTCAAGTAATTTTTGAAAAGCAGGTTCCCAGATTAGAGCAACCACTTGATTATCTTTTCCCCTCCTAGCAATTAGGAGAACAAATGAAGCAATGGCTAGTTTGATGATAATTTGGAGGGTTCTTGTAATCACTAATTTTAGAGGTAAAGTGGTAGGGAGAGTATCCAAATGAATAATCATTAAATGTAAAAGTTTTGGGAAAAGGGGGTTTCAGAAATGGGTAATAAAATCAGTGGTGCCTTCCCACCCCAGAACTATGAATGCAGGAGATCATGCAAGAATTTCCACACTTCGTACGTCTCCAGCTGGGTACTAATCACAGCTGATCTCTGTCTATGGAGAGTTAACCATTGTCTCCCAGTCATCATTATTGTTTCTATTCAGCAAAGATTACTGGACCCAGCAAATGGCTCCACTACTGACTTAGGCACACAAATCAGAAAGCGAGGCACCTCTTGACCACTTCCTCTCTCTTGTCCTCCACTTCTGTGATCCCCATATCTCTAGAGTTCAATCTGCTAAGAGGCCCTTGAATGTGTTGTTCACTTGTTTCCTCTGTACTATTCTGAGCCACAATCATATGCTAACTGAGCCATGCAATAGCCTCCTAAAGGGTATCTTTGTTTCTTTGTTTTATTTCTCCCTCCTTTTCAAAATATTCTTCTCACTGCATTCAGAACASCCATTAAGTAACAAGTGATTTCTGAGGAAATCACTGCCTCACTTAAAACCTTTCAAGGCTTCTATTGACCTCTGGGTCAAATCCAAACTTCTTATGATATGGCACAGAGGATATTCACCCAAGTATTCCATGTGTTCCTCCATACTTCTCATCTAATCTGCAGTCAGGTGGACCTATGTGACTAGTTCAGGGCAATGGGCTATGCGTGGGAGTAGGAAGTGTCACTTCTGAGCTGAGGCATTTAATTGCTGGTACATAACTCCCTCTTTTTCCTCCTGTGGAGATGAAAAAGTCCACRTGTTCTAGATGGTACAGTTATAAGATGACCTAGTCTGGGTTCTTGAATGACTATGTGAGCAGAAACTCTYACCATCCTTTGATAAACACCATGGGTGAGAAATAACATTTTCTTTGTTAAGCTGGAGACTTCAGTGCTATTTATTACAGCAGCATAACCTAGACCCTTCTGACTCTATAGCATGGTTTACAAAGCCATCAGTGACCTGCCTCCCATTTATTTCTATGGTTTCAATTTTTGTTATTCTGTCACTCTCTAAGTTCCAGCTCTGACATTCTTTTGGTCCCTTAGACACATTACATTTCCTTGTGTTATAGGACTCTTGCATAAGATACCTCCATTGCCCCCAATGCTCTTCCCTCTATACTTATGTAATTCCAATCATCTGTCAGATCTTGGCTTGTTGATCCCCTAGCCAAGGTAAGTTAGAGCAAMCACTTGATTATCTTCCCACCCCAGAAGATAACCCATCATATTTCCTCCTGCTTCACTCTTCACATCATTAGCACACTTGTAGTTACCTGAACATCCAACTCTGTAGTCTCCAAATGTAGGGACCCATATCTGTCTGTGTCTTTGGAACTTAGCACAGGACCTGACATAGCAGGCTCCCACTGAAAAATTAGTTGAATGATTGAATGTTTTTAGGACAGGGTCATACTGGATGGTTTGTCCTCTAATTTTTTTTTCTGGCCACCTTCAAATAGTTTTTCATTCATGGATTTGTTAAGCAATATACTTTTTTCTTCCTCTCACCCTTCCTCCCTCCATCCTTCTTTCCTTCATTCCTTTTTCTCAGTGGGAATYGGATCCAAGGTTTTTCACTTGCTCAGCAAGCTGATTTTTATTTATTTATTAATTATTATTATCATTTTTTTTACATAATTCCTGTTCTGTTTGTTATGCTAGCTTGTGAAGTACAACCAACACACCTGTCAGGTGTTCAGRAAGGAAAGAAACCATTGTGTTCAACTAATTGCTGAAATTTCATGAGAATGTGGATTTCTAACCGAGCCTTATAAAATGAGTGAACAGGTGGAAAGCACTGGATGGATGTGCCTGCAGGGGTCCCAGCAAGAGAARAGAGCATCAGAAATGAGATTATCTTTTGACAGAGACAGTAAAAAGAACAACTTTTCTGGACCCTTTCCCATCTGTCCCTCTAATTGTCCATTCCTTCAACACGGATGGAGTAGAGGTACAGAGAACCTGGAGAGCCAGCCYGAGCTCTGGGCTCCCATCCACTCACAACTGCTTTGGTTTTTATGAGTGGAGGAATTGGTCTCTTTCCCCAAACTATGCCTCTGTTCTGTTTTCATCCCACCCTTCTAGAAGGAGAGACCACACCTTTAATTTCTTTCATAGCTCTCCAAAACTCATTTTTCATGCTTCTGCAGAGTAAGCACCCAATAAATGGCTAAACAATGAAACCTCTCTTAAATTTGTAGTGACTTGCTTCAAGCCAGGGTGASGCTCATGGCTAGTGGGGTCAGGGACTACGAGTTATATTATTATTCTGGAGAAATAGATAGATGGCCTAGCATGTTTCCTGATTTTTTTTTAAAATAAATGAGCTTAAAAAAATCCCACAGAAGTAATACACTTATGCTCATTTCACAGGATTTAGAAAATACAAACTGACAGAAGAAAATGAAAATCATCCTGAATTTCACCATCTACTTATTGTTACTGTTAATATTTTGGTACSTGTCCTTCTAGTTCTTTTTCTATTTATATGCACATATATATTTATAAAGCTAGTTTCATGTAGCTTTTTTTATTGTGGTACAAAACACACATAAAAATTTACTATCTTAACTATCTTAAAGTGTACAGTTTAGTAGTATTAAGTATATTCACTGAGTTATAAATCAAATCTCCAGAAGTTTTTCATCTGGTGAATCTGAAACTCTGCATTCATTAAATTTTTTTTTAACTCAACAATAAATCATGAGTTTTTCTATAATATCAAATACTTCTTGATATTGAATATTATCCCCCACCATTGTTTTTAATAGGCATATACATATCTATCACTACAATTTTAAACATTAAATCCTCATCAGTGGATATTTAGATTATTTGTTTTTTCACCATTATATACAATGCTATGATGAACATTTCTGTATCTTTTGTACATATGTGTTTGCATACTTATATAAATATTTCATGACAATCAGCTCTCCGACGTAGAACTGCTGACYCAACGGAGGTGTATATTTTAAGGTTCTTGGTATGAATTTATTAGCGTTTGGATATGAGAGATTTCACCAATTTACATTCTTGGCAGCAGAATAGAAGAGGTGCATTTCTTCCCACTACTGCCAGAGTTGGGTATCTTTTAAAGAAACTATRGTTACTTCTGAAATAAACCTCCTGTCAAGTAAGTGTTGGTCTCWGGCATCACCGGGGGCACATGTATATTTCTGAGTAAGCTCGAATCAGGTRTAGACTTGATACTCACGTACCTCCACAAACAAGATGGGAAAGATGCCTACTTTGTCTCCTAACTTGCCTTCTGCCCAGTTCTCATCCACTCGGCTGAGCACAGTGATGACATCATCCTGAAAGAGAAAGTCTTGCAGTCAGYATTTGCTCTCAGGTTTCAGGCTGTAGAGCTTTTGCTGATCAGTTTGGAGTCTCAGACAGTGTGAGGTACAGYGATGTGACTCTTGCATGATTTATCTGGGAAATCTACCTGTTAAAATAMAACTTCCCCATAAAGGGCAATACTGAGGTCACCAAGACTACAACGGGGGTAGAAATAATTTGGAAGATCAATGGAATATAATAGGAAAACTTGGAAATTCTTATAATTTCAATCACCAGCCGAATCCAGACTTGTCATTTAAATTAATCTGGAGATCAAGATGGAAATTCATTAGGGAGACATGCTTTTAGTTTGGCAAAAGAAAAATGAATTTCATTCCCATTTTGAAGACTTTCAAAACCTATTCATTTCAACTTACCAAAAATAGGTAAGTTGAATTTTATTCAAATATTTCTTATTACAAAAGATTACTTGTAAATTTGTAGAAATATTTGAAAATACAGATAAGTCTAATAAGGAAAAAAATTCTACCACAAAGATACAACCATTGCTAACAGCTTGATTCATTCATTTTTTTCCAGATTCTTTTTGTATCAAGATGAAAACTTATGTACCTATAAGCATATTGATTTAGAAAAACCTTTTCAAAACATAGGTACTTGTGTTTAATAAGGGACATAAATTTTAGATGAAAATTTGGAAGAATTTATACATTTGACTATGGCCATGAACTCCCCACCCCATTCAACTCAAGATCTAGAACCAGCACCCAGAAGGCTCCTTTGTGCCCTTTCCTACTCCTGAGCCCAAAGTACCCACTATTCTGATTTCTAGTACTGTAAATTCATTTTGCCTATTCTTGTACTTTATACAGGACACAATATTTTTTTGAACTTAATACTATATCAGGAACACCTTTACATGTTCATACACGTTCAACAATCTAAGCCTGTATATTCATCTACTAAAGAATATATTGTCTGGGTTGGGTACAGTATTGCATGCCTGAAATCCCAATGACTCCTGAGGCTGGGATTACAGAGGATTGCAAATTCAAGGCCAGTCTCGGCAACAAAGGGAGACCTTAAGCAACTTAGCAAGACTTTGTCGCAAAAAGAAAGAAAGAAAGAAAGAAAGAAAGAAAGAAAGAAAGAAAGAAAGAAAGAAAGAAAGAAAGAAAGAAAGAAAGAAAGAAAATAAAAGAAAAGGTCTAGGGATGTGGCTTAGTGGTTGAGCACCTTTGGGTTCAATCCCTTGTACCAAAACCAAAAAAAAAAAAAGAATATACCATCTGGGCTGTCTGAGCCACTTCATGATCCTAAGCAATTTAAATCAATCCAAATCTAAAATTCATTACCAAATTATACTCTCCCCCCCCTTTTTTAGCATTCTTTGATCTTTTTACAATTTTCGATTACACATTTCAAGTTATGATTTGTTTGATGCCTGACTATCCTAAAAGAACATAAAATTCATGAGTGCAAGGCCTGTGTCCGTTTTTTTCATTTCTGTTATTCTCAGTACCTAACATGGTATCTCTCAGGCAATAGGTATCCAATAGATATTTCTAGAAYACATGCAAGCATGGATGAGTACATGAATGTGTGACTGAAAATACAATTCACTTACAGAAAAAGCATGAGGGAGGGAGCATCATTGTGAGGAAGGATCTTTTTTTAAAAAAACTTTTATTAGTTATCGATGGGCCTTTATGAATTTATTTGTTTATATGTGGTGCTKAGAATTGAACCCAGTGCCTCACACATGCTAGGCAAGCACTCTACCACTGAGCCACAACCTCAGCCCCATGGATCTTGAGTTTAATTTGGACATGCTGAGTTTAGGACAACCGTATGACTTCCTAGTGGAGCCTTAGYATTCCGCAGTCCTCCAGAATTGACCAAATGCTCTCTCTGGACTCCTGGGCACAGCTCCAGGAAGGTAGGGACATTGATTACTTTTTCCCCAATGGCTGACTTGGCATATGAATGGGCTCAAGGCATGAGTGAGAGTGTGAAGTAAATGGCCCTGTTTGCAAATTTCTGGGGAGRGTCAGGGAAGCAGGTAGTGCTTCCAGCTCATGTTTTCCTCTGCGTCCCCACAGCTCAGTAATCATGTCTAACACAAAGTAAATACTCAATAAGTGTTCATGAAATTGAGCTGCCCTTCCTCCAACTATAGTCTAAGTGTCAATTTAGCAGTTTGGACTGTAGAATGACCTGCCTTAGGAGTCTCTTTCTGAGATTCCAAGAAAACAACTACTTCTAAATATGGAGGACAGTGAGGTTATCTAGAGGGACTGTTGAGTAACTCTCATATATGGTAGAACTGGAATGMAGATATCTTACCAAACAAAGACTTCTTGAGCTATGGTAGCAGCACTCCTTCTTTTATCTTTATTGATCTTTTTTATAAATAGAAAAGAGTGAAAATAACTCCTACTTTGGTTTCCAGGAGAATTTGTATATCTATGGAATAACAAACACTGAACACAGAGAGTTGAAGTGGTCTAGATTTAGTAGAACYGTCATTACTTGTAAATGGTGGGAAGCGTACAATGAAAAAAAAAAAGAGGCCAAAATATCTTAGGGTAGTTCATGTGCTTGCAAAACATATCTTGTAAGAGGTTATTTATGTATAAAGGTATGATTATGTCACTGTGTGTGCTCAGAGTGTTTTTAGTATTATGTTTATGACAAAATAGAAGGTTGTAGATAAGGGGAATTAGGTGACCATAACTTGGTCATCAGCAAGAATACCACTATGGATACATAATAAAGAGGTAGGGCTGTAGTTTCATATAGCACATGATCAAAACTGTAATTTTTTGTTCACATAATTCTCCCATTACTCTGCCATGAAGGTGGAAAATGCAACTTTTTCATGCTCCATCCCCAGTGCCTACAAAGAAGAAGTGCTCAAAAGTGATTTCAGAATGAATCAGTGTGTGAATACTTATTTTTATATTTGCAATAGAAAAAGGCTTAAAAGTTTTTATTAAACACTTATTAGTAGATTTCTCTAGAGATTTCACTTCCATGCAGTTTGATTCATACATACACACTTACTGTACATATATGCATGCATATATTTGCACAGATATGTTACATACACTTACATGTATCTTCATATATAAAATAAGCATTTTTTTTTAGAAACCAGCAAATATTAAGCAAACAGCTCTAGATTCTACAATAGTCTCTATGGGTCCTGAAAGACCGTGGTGGCCAGCAGAGTCTTACCTTGAGGAAAGTCAGGCAATCCTGGTTCTCACTCTTATCCTTGTCTCGCAGGTCAAAGTTGTAGAGGGCCCTGCAGAGAGGGGGCGGCAGGGGCAGCTGCTTGATGACTTCCACGGAGCTGACTGGGAAGATCCCACTGATGCCATTGACCTCCCCATGGTACCAGTTCTCATCAAGCTGTTTCCGAAGAAGAATGATGTCACCCTTGTTGAACCTCAGGTCACCAGGATTAAGCCCTCTGTAGTTGCATAAGGCCTTGGCTCGAGGCACCTGCAGTGGCACAGAAAATAACAGGTACGTAGCTTAGAGGCTGGTGGGACAGAGTATACTATGAATAACTTTAAGGAAGCCATATTCTATGTGCTAAGTGTGTGTGTGTGTGTGTGTGTGTGTGTGTGTGTGTGTGTGTGTATGTGGTCTCACTTAATCCAGGTAGCCCTTTAAGATAGATACTCATCATCCCTATTTATCAGATAGGTTAGTGACTGAGACACAGAGTGGTTTAGTAACTTGTGTAAGGTGGCACAGCCAGGAAATGGCAGACATAGGATCTGAACTTGGGCCACCTGATTCTAGAGCCCTTGTTCTTAATCACTATTCCAGGAACAATGTTGGGGGTTTCACTCACAAACGATATGAAATTGAGTGAGTCAGTCAGGGACTCTTTATAGGTCTATTCTGATTTTGAATTCTGGCTCCACCTCTTTCCCCTTGTGTGATTATGGCTATTAACTCTTTCAAAAATGTATTCATTTATAAAAAAATGGGGTATTAATAATAGAATGCCTATCTTATTAAGGTTGGTGTGAGGAATAAAACATACCCGYAATAGACTTAATATCTTGACTATCACATAATACATGCTCCAAAAATGGTATAATGGGCTGGGGTTGAGCTCAGTGGTAGAGCACTTGCCTAGCATGTGAGAAGCACTGGGTTCAATCCTCAGAACCTCATATAAATAAAATAAAGATCCATTGCCATGTGAAAAAAGTGTATTAAAAGTGGTATATGATGTTTATTACCACCATTTAAAATGGAGGACCAGTGKTATCAGTTCTACCTGTGCCTCAGTGTTGATGGGAAGAAAATTGAGATGAAAACCACCTGGAAATAGAAAGCTAGCAATTGCAACATCATTTATCTTCAACCTTCTGTAGGAATTGCAAACCTTGTGWGTGTTCGGATCATTAGGAAGCTCAACCAAGACAAAGAAATAATTAGTCAGAAATCAATCATCAGATTTTTTTTAAAATCAACTTGTGAATCATCATTTGTCAAATCAGTTTCCTGTCTAAATAATTAATTAAGTCAATTTTTTTTTCCCCAATTGAAACTACTTTCCCTACACAGAATTAGCCTCACTCCGATCTTGCTTGGAGTCAGTTTGGCAAATTGAAAGTTCTAACAATTTAGGTTTAATCCTAATCCTTTCTGTCATGTGGGACTATATATTTTTTTTTATTTGCATTCTTTTTTAAAATTTATGTATAACAGTGGAATGCATTATAATTCTTATTACATATACAGAGCACAATTTTTCATATCTCTGGTTGTATACATAGTGTATTCAATTTGTGTATATTCAATTGTGTTGTACACTGAATATTATATTTAATTCACGTCTTCATACATGTACTTTGGATAATAATGATCATCACATTCAACCATCATTAATTACCCCAAGCCCCCTCCCTTCCCCTCCTACTCCTCTGCCCTATCTAGAGTTCGTCTATTCCTCCCATGCTCCCTCACCCTATCCCACTATGAGTCAGCCTCCTTATATCAGAGAAAACATTCAGCATTTGTGTTTTGGGGATTGGCTAACTTCACTAAGCATTATCTTCTCTAACTCCATCCATTTACCTGAAAATGCCATGATTTTATTCTCTTTTATTGCTGAGTGATATTCCATTGTGTATATATGCCACTTTTTTTTTTTTATCCATTCACATATGGAAGGGCATCTAGGTTGGTTCCACAGTTTAGCTATTGTGAATTGTGCTGCTATAAACATTGATGTGGCTGTGTCCCTGCAGTATGCTGTTTTTAAGTCTTTTGGGTATAGACCAAGGAGAGGGACAGCTGGGTCAAATGGTGGTTCCATTCCCAATTATCCAAGAAATCTCCATACTGCTTTCCATATTGGTTGCACCAATTTGTAGCATGTGGGACCATATTTTGTTTGTGCTTCTCGGAGCAGTGGGATGAAGCAGTGCTCTCTTGCTGTGGCAGTCCTGCCATGTTAGGGGTGCAGGGAGACATTAATTCAGGTCATCAAGGATCTTCTGATTCTACATGTTCCTTTGGAAAGGGAATTCTGGGTAGCTTTAGGATAGAAATCAGACCGAATCTTGMTTTGCTGATGGGATGGTGGAGCTGTGGATGCAGTGAGGTAAGCCTAGAAATTAAAAAACCACTGGAACTCAGCTCATCCTGGGGAAAATGGAGGAAATGTTAGCAAGATGTTTGTACCTGAGGGCTTAATGGTATTATGGCTGTGAGCAGGAGTATGGTTGTATAAACCAAAATATACTCATACAATGAATCACTCTGCAGTTACTAAAATTGCTAACRTTGATCTGTAATCTGGTAAGTGGAATAGAACTTAAAAACCATCATGTAGACTAGGTTATCATTATATATGTATTAGGTAAAATGCTAGGGAAAATGGTAGATGTCTGTACACGAACATGTTATGTATTTCCAAGTTGTCAGATTTTTGAATGCYAATTTTTTATGAGTGTTGAGCTGTGTATATTCAATTGTGTTGTATACTCAATATTATATTTAATTCATGTCTTCATACATGTACTTTGGATAATAGTGATCATCACATTCAACCATTTTTAATTTTTCTACAATGAAAAAATTGTCTTGCTCATTAAAATTTGATAAAACCGGTAGAAAATGAATGAAGCTGGGAGTGAGGAGTGAAAGATGAAGGAATTTAGGATGCAAATAAGCCAGTTGAGTAGGCTAAGGAAACCATGTGACTCCTCTCCTTGAGGAAGATGGCCCAAGCACGATGAAAGCAGGGGATTCTGGGAACAACTCAAGTCTCTGGATTCTTAAGCTGGGTGCATGGGAGACCACATTCCTTCCATATGCCTTCTTGCCAGTTTTTCAATGTAATACAAGACACATTTTTTTTCGGGGTGCATGATTACCTGGAATACTGTCACTCTCATTTTTCAGCCTGTGTGGTAGCTAAGTTCTGGCCAACGGAGTATAAACCGTCTTTAGGAAGTGTCCTTACTGAGGGAGACTGATATTCTCTTTCTTTTCCTCCATCCTCCTATGTGAAATGCAGGCATGGTTCCTGGGGCTCTGGCTGCCATCTTGAGGGCCACTCCTAAACAGGGAGGGAAGGCCTCTGGCTTGCAGAGCTGCTTATACCCATCTTGGACTATTTCTCTTTAGACTTTGTCTGAAAGCTGCATAAACTTCCATCTCGCTAAATGTATTGTTCTTTTGGATTTATAAAAGAAAAGAAAATAAGAATGAAAAGGTAAAGAAAAAAGAATTCCAGACTGTTGGCTTTGCATGAAAATGATAATATCACTAGTTAGTGTTTACTGAATATTTTTTCCTGTGTTAAACACTCTACAATATATTTTATTTAATTCTTACAAAAAATTTTGAACTGTGTGTTATTTTTSATTTTAAAAAAATAAAAAGAACAACAACAACTACAAAAAAAAAAGACTAGAAAAATGCAGATCAGAAAAATTAAAAGTTGYTGAAATTCACAAAGCTAGAAGGTGGTGGATTTAGGATTATCCTCAAGCCCAAACTTGTAACCACTAAACTTGTGTTTCTCAAAATGAAGTCTGTGGTTTACATGTAGCAGAATCCTGGGAGACGATAAAAATTCAGATACCAGACCTCATCCTTGAACTACTTGATCAGAATCTCTTGGAGTAGTTTAAGTAGCTGCATTTTTGTTAAACATCCCTACCACTTGTTTTTTTCCTTAATTTATTTTTTAATTTGTTCTTCTTAAATATACATGACAGTAGAGTATATTTTGACATATTCCACATACATGGAGTATAACCTATTCTAATTAGGATCTCATTGTTGTGATTGAACATGACGTGAGTTACATTGGTTGTGTATTCATAGATGAACATAAGAAAGTTATGTCTTATTCATTCGACTGTCTTTCCTATTCCCATCCATCCTCCCTTCCCTTAATTCTACTTTGTCTAATCCAGTGAACTTCTATTCTTCCCCTTCCCACCTTCCTTTGTTATGGGTTATTATCTGCATGTCAGAGAGAATATTTGGCATTCATCTTTTGGGATTGGTTTATTTCACTTAGCATGATGGTCTCTAGTTTCATCCATTTGCCAGTAAATGTCATAATTTCATTCTTCTTTATGGCTGAGTAATATTCCATTATATATATATATATATATATATATATATATATATATATATATATATTATATATCACATTTTCTTTATTTTCTTTATCCATTCATCTGTTGAAGTGTACCTAGTTTGGTTCATAGCTTGGCTATTGTGAATTGAGCTGCTATAAACTTGATAAGGCTGCTTTATTATATTATTCTGATTTAAGTCCTTTTGGGCATAAACCGAGGAGCCTACCACCCAAGTTTGCTGCTACTGGTTCAAGCTACTGGTTCTAGCTCTAATGGGGGCAGTGGAGTTTTGAAGCAAGCTTTGTAAATTGCCAACATGCTTTCTTCTTCACCTTTCTGGAAGATATTTCAAGTGCTGAGAGAGTATATTAAACCTGAATTATGTGAAGTGCTTCAGTGCCTTTGAAGATGCCTAAACATTGACGCCTTGAGATAGGCCTCATTGACAGTCTTCATCTCTACCCCATCTTTTGTCCGTCTCCCCTCAACACAGATGAGTATTGTGGAAGTAAACTGTAAATCTGTCTTTAACCATGAAGACCTTCTTCATCTTCTTTCTCTTCATTTTGGATGATTTCTCCCCTGGTATTTGCAGTTCTGTGTTCATAGAAAACAACAGGGGTGGAGTAAACAAGGGTGGAGGGAGGCAGGAAGAGATGGAGAGAGGGAGAGGGAGTGGGGGAAGGTGAGAGAGCGGGAGAGAGGGAGGGAGCCCGAGAGAGTGACTCTGACGAGTGGAGGAAATTAACTTTCACCGGGGTTTTGCCAGGCCAAGGAAACTTTTCTTACACTATTGCACTCTGTGCTTTCATCTAATATCTCATTCATGTGACCTCAGAATCCTCTGAAGGGGGGGTGGTAGTAGCCTATTTTACTGAT